AGGTCATATTTCAAAAATACACTTAACATCCATTTCCCCTAGAAGCTGCACATAATGCGTTCTTAGTCCCTCGGGAAGCATATCCAGATTGCTACACATAAAACTACCAAGTACAGCACTGCTCTCATGGGCAGGAACAGGACCAGGGAATTTCAGTTCCCAGACTGGACCAAATTCCACGGGCTTTTCTCTTAATCTTTTCCACTCTGTGTGAACTAAGTTCTAATTAAGCAGGGTTTATTTTAATGAAGTCAGAAACCAGGTCTTGCCTTCTCTACCTACACCTTCAATATTACAGAGTGCTTTCTTAATTAAGCTGAAGAATTCCCTTTGGCTTCCACAGCCAAGATTTTCCACTTGTTCCATTCAGAATGCCAGTTGGCTTCCACACCCTGTAACTATGTGCTGGCACAGCTGGACAATTTATGAACTTCTGTGGGACTAAAGGAGGTGTCATTTCCGTGGGAAACATTCCTAATAATCTGGATTTCCATTTATTCTCACCAGTGAGCAAACTTTTCCGAGTAATAGCAAGCAGGTGAGCAGAGGGGGAAGCAAGCAGCAAGATGTTAACAGCAGGGTTTCCAGAAAAGGTTCCTCTCTAAGCCCAGGCCCCCTGTTCAACAAAGCATGTGGGCAGTCCAGAGCCTGAGTTCTCACTCCTGTTTTGCTGTCCAAGAACCACTTTCAAACAGACAGAGGGGTCCTGGCTTCCTTGCGGTCATCTACAGTGTCTGAATGCAACAGGAGAACAGCATCCCTTTCTCACCATTCTGGAGGCTGGGACAGTCAAGGTCAGGATGCCAACAGACGCCGCGTCCAAGGAGGGCCCTCTTCCTGGTGCAGAGCTGGCCACCATCTCAGAGTCCTCTTTTGGTGGAGAGTGAGAGGGCACGCCCGCCTATGGCTGCTTTATAAGGATGCTAATTGCACTCACCTGAGCTCTGACCTGAGCGCCCAATCACCTTCCAAGTTCCCCCAACTCCCAATACCACCTTGAGGGATTTCAGGAGAGGAAGGGGAATGGAGGGAGTTTAATGGAGAGGGGGCCAAAATAATCACTAGAAAAACGAATCATATGTTCATCTCTCTATCTCCCTTCTGTCAATCTCTCCCCAAACACTAATCTGAAATCCTGGCTCCACTTGTTGGTGTCAGGAGGCCAAGAGCAAATTGCTTAAACTCTCTGCACCTTCGTCTGCTCCTTTTCTTTAAAGAGACATTTCTGCTAAATATTTATCTTAATATCAATTCAAACCCAGACAAAAGTTGCCTAAGGAGTGTAAAAAACTTCTACTTGCTGTTTTTCAGATCCTTCTTTCTGTGAGATGCCTCCTTTCACTTTACCGCTTTCTTTTTCTTCTGTCCTGTTTTTCTTTCCCTTTTCTGAAATATATGAGTAACTTCTATTGCCCATAAGGTTGTTCTGAGCACTAAAGGCATTAATACATGTGAAATACTCAAAATAGTGCCTGTCACTCACAGTATGCTCCCATGAAATATTGGATTTTTAACTTGCTTTTCAAAGGCCTTTCCAAACATTTGAGAGGGTCTTCAAAAGCCAGTCCCTTGGGGGGGCCACCGCACGTGGAATCTCCAACATGCTGGAGGTCCACCCCTATGCCTCCACCCTACTTGGAGGTTTATGCCAGATCCATTTAGTTTCAAGTGTTGGATTTGAACAATCTAAGAAATATTTTCGATGCCATATGTAGCTGGCTTTGAACACTGGTCTTGAATGTATCTGCTATAGATTATTATATGTTATTACAGAAACGTCATTTTTTAAACTGCTATACTACTGCTAACCAACTCTTAAATTGAGCAGCTGTGATGAGAAGGCCAAGCCTCCTTTCTGTTTTCTTTGGGGGGAATGATAGGAGCACTGGTTTCTAGGAAATTCAAATAGGACTGTTGGAACAACCCCCCTGCCCCCCATGCAGCTCAAATATCTCCTGTGTCTGTTAACCCAGCCGGTCTGTGCTTCTGCTGCAGAAACAAGATGCCAATTTGCATAATGCCTCCTCTAACCCTGCTGTTGCTTTAACTTTAAGCTGAACCAGAACTCTCCTTTCTCGCATTCACCATGGGTTCCTCAGCTTCCTGATTTCCTGCCTCATCCTGCTGGGCTGAATTAAATTAAGGGTGGGGAAAAAAACACTGATTCAGCTACATCTCCGTGGCCCTAGATTCAGCTGCAGAACTCTTTGGTTTGAAGCTGTGCTTAACTCATTGCACGTGAGTCAGATGCCAGGAAGAAAGCAAAGCATGGAGGCATCTGGTGTCCAGAAAGGTTTGTTCCTTTCTGAGATTGTAGTCTAGAAGGTGGCGTGACTTGTTCAGGTGATCCACTGCTCTTCCTGGGGTCCCAGCACCAGGCCCAGGTGTCCACCAGCTCCCTAGGCTCTAAGTGACAAATGAGTGGAACTAATCCTCCCGTTGCCCCAGCAAGGTTCATATGTTGGGACTTATGTGAAAGACATTGCCTGGGGTAGAAGAGACAAGGTAAATGCTTCTGCCCTCCCACGACGAATTACGCATGCACAACTAGAGCTGATTCAGCCTAGAGACAGTCTGCCCAGGGGAGACTATGAATGCAGGATTCCCTTGAACATTTGCAGCCCATACTGACTGCTCTGGTTCCTATGCAGACCTATAACTTAAGCTGCACAATTTGGTACTTGGTTAGTACAATTTTGCATCATGTGTGCATCTTATTCATTGAGCTCATCTATGAAGTCCTAGAGAGCCAAGGCCATATGCAGCAGCAACCTTGTATCCTTCAGAGCAGTTTTACAATATGTTGGGTACAGCGAGGATCCGAACCTTCTTTCTCGGGCAGAGAGGGGAGGAGGGCCTGATTTTTTTTTAAGATTTATTTATTTTTATTACAGAGTCAGATATATAGAGAGGAAGAGAGACAGCAAGGAAGATTTTCCATCCAATGATTCACTCCCCAAGTGACCGCAACGGCCAGTGCTGTGCCGACCCAGAGCCAGGAGCCAGGAACCTCTTCCAGGTCTCCCACACAGGTGCAGGATCCCAAAGCTTTGGGCCATCCTCGATTGCTTTCCCAGGCCACAAGCAGGGAACTGGATGGGAAGTAAAGCTGCCGGGATAAGAACCAGTGCCCATATGGGATCCTGGGCACGTTCAAGGCGAGGACCTTAGCCACTAGGTCACGCCACCGGGCCCAGAGGACCTGATGTTTTCTTACTAAGAGCTATATCAGTCTCTCCGTCACAGTGGTTAGTAACACAAGTACCTCCTCCACAGCATAGCTAGACTTTGTTGCTAGAAAGAAGCCAGCATTTCTCTTGCAGTCACAGTCTCAGACACCTGTACAGGTAGTGCCCACTCATACTGTTCCACCTATTCTGCAAGCCACCCAGCCTACCCATTTGCCGAGTGACAGCACCCTCTTCCCCCAAATTTCATGCTACAATGTAGGTAAGTCTCAGAAAACATTATTCCAAATGAAATAAACCAAACACAGATTATATATTATATGATATCTTTTACATAAAATATCTAAAATAGGTAAATTCATAGAGATGGAAAATAGATTAGCAGTTGGCAAAGACTTGGGGAGACAGAATAGGAAAACACTGCAAGTATTGGTTTTCCTCCTGGAGTGATGAAAATACCATGTAAGTATGATGATTGCACATATTTGTGTACATGCTAATATCTACTGACTTAAACTTTTTAAACAGGTAACATTTATAATGTGTGAATTATATATCTTTCTAAAATGTATTAAAGTATAAAATAGAATGTGAAACTTCAACAACAATAAAAAACTATTCTGTGAACCGAAAATGCTAGATCCAAGGCTGGCCTTGTCATTTTACTGTTGGAACAATTGGACTTGCCATCCTCTCTCTGATTCAGTCCAGAAATCATAGGTTTTTCTAAATTATGTCGTGTGCTCCGCAGTTCCCAGTTAACACTCAGACCAGTACAATCACCCATGCTGCCAGGCCTGATTTCCATGGGATTTCGGCTTGGCCCTGCATCTGTAGACAGCATGGGTCCACAGGCTCTGGCTGCTCCATTTCCACGTTGCCAGTGATTGTTTCTGTCAAAAATGATCATGTGTCTTTCATTGCAGTGCAGATGATACCCAAATGTTAGCCTCGTTCATCAGACTGTCAGGCTAATTGCTTATAAAACATCCTGAACTAGTTGTCACAGAACATCAGCTAACGCCATCCAAACAAAACAGACTCGGGCTGGATACTGTCCTTGGGAGGGAAAGCCCTGCTGACATTTATAAGGACAAAGATTCTCAGACACCGTTGGTAATCTAGTGACCATCACAAACCCGTGAGTGACACTGCCCTCCTGGGATACTGAAACTGCTCTCAAAAACTTAGCTGCCCTGTTACTGGCATAATATTTGGAAACTACTTAAAAGGTCACAGATGCTAGGGTTTGGCCTTTCAATTTCTGCCACAGTCCAGCAGTGGGATGGATGAGGGTTTCCCTGCCTTTCCTGGAACCCCTTGTATGTAGAATCACTTACCCTACAGAGGAGCCTGGCTTTGTAGAGCGCTATTTCCTGCAAGTTCCCACCTCCCTGAGATGGCAGCAGAGCGGGTGGTGCTCTTTCTAGTTCTTACCTGGAGGGAAGTTAGAGTAAGTGACAATGGATCGCACATCTCTGAGTTCTAACCTGAGTGCTCTACACAAGCACAGGGAAGACGTGGTGTTGGCACAGATCCAGAGCCAAATATTTCCAAATCTTTCTGATCCCTTGGTGTATCACTTCTCTGTTCCTCTGCCCATCCTCACCAAACATTCCTCAGCCAGTTTTCCTGTCCCTTTTTTCCTTCTAAAAGTTACGCTCTTTCTCATTCCAGTCCTTCTCGTTCACATGATTACCTGAGCCAATCTAAGGCATGTATTTTTAAAAGGATTGATTTTAACTTCTACCAAGGTGCCAAATGTTGTCCTAGGCAAAAAGAAAAAGTCAGGTGTCTCATCTTTAAACGTTGATGTCTGATAGTGAACCACAGGCCCTTTGTGTCTCCACATTTTGGTAGAACTTTTAGGTCTGTTTCTTGGCTACTTTCTGCCCCACAAGTTAATCTCTCCATTGTCTATCTTCTTGGGGCTCTTAAAGCCATTGGTCTCTCCAGGTAACATGTAACGTGTGTAAATATTCACATTGATTTTATTGATCAGAAACATGTAACATGTATAAATATTCAACACACACACACCATGCACTTGAGTCCACTGTGGTGACAGAGGACAGGATGTGCAGAACCCTATGCTCTTACATATTTTACTCAGGCTCAGGCAGGGACTGAGTTACCATCTCATACAGCCAAAGGAGCTGACCAGAATGACTGCTCTGATTATAGAATTAATTTCCAGTTACAGCATCTCTCCAATGCTAGTATTTACAATCAAGTTGCAAGCTTCAAAGAGTGTGTTCTTCTCTAACACAGTAGCCTAGGATCCAGTCAGAAAAATAAGACAGTAATGAATGAATGCTGACTGAGGCCACACTACCTTTCCATTCCCAGATTATTTTTGATTCTTTGCTTTCCAACATAGAAGTAGGGTCTTCTATTCAACTGTACCTTTCAAGCTTGTAGAATCAGGGAGGGACAGATGTTTGGCACTGCAGGTAAGGTGCTGCTTGCAACATCCACATCCTTATTGAAGTACCTGGGTTCAAGGTATTCCATTGTTAAATTTCTCTGCCTTGAGTGGAATCCAGTGATACTGAATGGGAAAAGAAAAACAAACCTGATGAGGAAGTGGCCCAGACAATAGTCCCTGCTCCATAAGTGTGCACAACAAAAGCACTCAAGGAATCCCTCAACCATTCAGAAGCCATGACCTGAAACAGATATGGTATTTAATGAAGCTTGAGTTGCTTTTAGAAGCCTACAGGAATATTCATCATAAAAGAAAATCATACCAACTTTTTGAAGAGATGTTGATCATCTGAATTGGGTCCACTCCTCATCTCCAATTTTCAATCTTCTCCAAAGCTCTCCAAAGCCTAAGAAAGCAAGCAAAATAGCAAAAAAAAAAAAAAAAGTGACATGGAAGGATTGGGACATACCACAGAAGCAGTGTACACTGCATAAGACTGCTGAAAATTATATTAACCTTTTGTAGGAGGAATTCCAGCCTGCTCCCCCACACATGAGTGGCAAGGCCTTAGTACTTGGACCATCTTTGGCTGCCTTCCCAGCTGCAACGAGGAGAAAGTTGAATCAATAGCAGAGCAGCTGAACTTGAATAGCACTCTGATATGGGGTGCCAGCATTGCAAGCAGCAGCTTAAACAGATACACTGCAACACTAGTCCCCGTTTCTATTTATACAGATGTATAAAGATTTTTTTCTCATATAACATTATTTCTAGCTACAGCATCTATATGCTATATATGGTCTTCTTAGTTTGTTTCCCACATAGTTCTTGATCAGAAAGGCAACCCACAATTAATACTCTCATTGTCCCGATTGAGGAGTATCAATACTCTTCATCCAATGTTCCTGTGGGACTATCACATAAGATGTTTTAGGATGTAGTTATCATTGCCTTTTGGCTAAGATTATGTGTAGGATGCAGTTCTCAGGAGCTTGTAACTTCTGTCTGGGCTCAGTTATGTAGTAGACAACTAACCCATAATTTCACTGCCCCAATCAACAGAGTTGTATTATATTCACGCAATATGGACACATCTCAGACTTACAGAGGTTCTGTTCTCCTAGCCCACAGGTTTGGTCCCAGTCTAATGGAGCTGCCACTACCAGAAGTCTTGCTAGGTACCGGGGCAAAAGGAAAGGGATATATGTAAAATTCATGGGACGCTATGTCTTTTCAGTGACAGCTGCCACTTTCTCTCACATTTCATCAACTATACTCATCCATGTGGCTATGCTTAATCCCAGAGCCAGGATGTACAATCCCAAAGAGGAGAAAATAAAACTAACCCAAGTGGCCCCACAAATCTGTTTGTGGAAAGCAGAGCCTCTAGTTCTTAAGCAAGTAGTTACATTTTTTAAAAAAGATTGATTTGTTTTCATTGGCAAGGAAGATTTACAAAGAAGGAGAAACAAAAAGATCTTCCATTCCACTGGTTCACTCTGCAAATGGCCACAAAGGTCAGAGCTGAGCTGACCTGGAGCCAAGAGCCAGGAGCTTCTTCTTGATCTCCCATGTGGGTGCAGGTACAAGGACTTAGGGCAGGGTTCAGTGATTTCTCTAGCCACCAGCAGGGAGCTGGATGGAAAGTAGAGCAGCCAGGACATGAACCTTTATAGGATGGCAGTACTTACAGGCACAAGGTTAGTCAGTTGAGCCATTGTGCCAGCCCCAAAGTTTTACTCTTGTAGTGATATTGATTTAGCTATTAACCAGCAACAGCATTATGATATGAGAATAATAATAGATTTTGGACTATCAATATAAATTTCAGTTTATCTGGAACACCAACCTTTGGAAGTGTGTGTGTGTGTGTGTATGCATGTGCACGTGCGTGCATGCGTACCCCCTCATTTTAGGCAAACTGCCACAGAAATTAATAAGACAAAAGCCTGCAAGCAGGTCCCAGGTTGGGCAATTTGCTCTTATGCCAGAAGACACAGCTTTCCTTCTGGACAGGGCCCAGGTATAGAATTGACTACCATTCTTTTTTCCATAAGGTCGGAATCTGTTAACCTTCCTGGCACAGAGGGTTTATTTGTCCCACTTGACATTCATCTGAGGTTTGACTTAGCACTGGTGTTTGGAGGAAACTTCATTCTAGCCCATATTGGTTAGCAGGTGATTTTGTGGGTTTGACCGTATTTGCTTATCACTAATTTTCTTCACAAAACTTACAATCACGGAATCCAGACTTCAAAGTGTAGAATTCCACTGGCATGGCTGGGTTAGGTACATATAGAATGCAAAGAGCCATTGCCAAGGGTACTCAGGAAGTCAGAGGCCAGATTCAAGGCCCTGGTGTCATTTATGTAGCAAGGGGTAGTTCAAGAACAACCAGCAAAGGGAACATTGTTCACAGGCCTTTCCAGTGGCCAAACTTGAAAATACTGGAACAAGGTCACATGAGCACCTGCTGTTAAATGCCACAGAAAGCAAAAATAGGCAAGTCAAGGTCTCAGGCAAGGATCAATGCAGAACGCACAAACTGCAATGACAAACCAGACAGACAAACTTCATTTAAGTGTTTACATCTCTCTTGCTTGCAGTTTGTTCCTACCTGTGTTAACCAGGCTCCTTAAAGGAGAACTATCACTTGCTTAGCTGAGGATTTCAGAGAGATTTTGCTGGAGTGATTCTTCACTGAGGTGGGGGCAGCATTAAAAGAACCACAGTGGGTGATGGGGAAGCTAAACACTGGCAATAGCAGGAAGCTATTCCCACTACTAGCCAGATGACATAGGGAGCAGGAATACCATTCTCAGAGATTAGTGAGAGCAGCAGGCATGAAAGGAGGCAGTCCAACAGGAGTTGTGACCACTGAGGAACATGGTGTCCTTTAAGCAGAGCCAAGGAAGAGGGGAATGGCAGCAAGCGATCATGGGACTTCCTCCCACTGGCCAAACCCAAGTCCAAACAAGAGGGCAAGGGGCCATGGGCAAGCATCCATCGAGGCCGGTTTAACTGGGCCCAGGGCAGAGGAGGGCAGTGGAAGTATTTGGCTGGCTTACCACCTCGTCTAATTAAAAGATGCTGTCTGTAACTGTGCAGGTATTTTCCCTTTTTTTTCTGTTTGGCCAGACTCCCTACATTCTGTTTTCTTTCCCCTGAGTACTCTCCCTCAGCGATTTTACTTCTCTCTACTTTCATTGTTGACTCCAAAAGCACTCAATAATAAAAGCCAATTCACAAACTGAAATATAAGCAAGTGTTTTTCCTTGTTATCTGGGGATGTTACAAGTTTATTACATATTTAGTCACTCATCGCATACCCAGCAAAGTAGGGAAAGAGCTAATTTTTGTTTTTAAGCAAAAACAAACAAAAAAATGTTTTACAATGGTTTAGACTTACTGCAGAATGGGAGAAGGAGTATAGAATATTCGTATATACTCCCTATCCCCATATAGCACAACCTCCCCATTACTGAAACCCTACACCAAGTGATACAGTTAATGAGGCTACATGAAAACACTCAAAGGCTGAGGTTTCTATAAGGGTTTATTCTGGGTGTTGACCATTCTGTGGGTTGTGACCAATGCATAACAGCGTGCAAGACTATGGGTGATCCTACAGAGTACTTCACTTCCTTGGACATCCTCTGTGCTCTGCCCTGTCATCAAGGTTTGAACTTCTAAACATTTGAATCAAAAGTCCCAAGAAGCTGCACATAAACTTTTTAAAAATCTGATATGTTCCTGGTCCTTAAGCAAAATAACTAATTATAATAAATGATGGGCTGAAATTATTAAGTAATGCAATGATATTACTAGGAGTACCACATAACTAATCTAACAATATTCAAAAACTTAAAATATATTTGTAAACAGTAAAGCACAGAAGTGCGATTAGTGACATACCAAAACATACTTTATTCTAAACATGCCCTGAGCAGAGGCAATCTTCTCAAGTTCCTGAGAATAAACACAAGCCTCTCTAGCCACTTTAAGTCACAAAGTAAAGACACAAATCATTAACAGAAATTATCCAGCCCCAAATACATAGGGATTAGTATCTATGCCCAAGTGAGAACAAAACCTTCTCTTCTCCACCTGGAACCTATTTCAGGCTGCTCTGCTCAGGCAGGCATCTGTCACATAATTGGAGTCTCAGCTCTGGTGGGGCTGCTATGAGGAATGGGGCAAGGGACAGAGGACCCTGGGAGGCGTGTTGTGTTTTGCCATCTAGTGTTTTCTCACGGATAAGTTCAAGGGCTGTGCGAGGGCTCCTCTGCTCTATCACCCTGACTCCAGGGGTGCTTCCCATGCCTACGGCTGCCAATCTTTAGTCCTCACTTTGTCTTGCCTGCTGGTGCACTCAACACTGACTGGGTGCTGTGATCCCTCCAAGCTACCCTTCAGGGTAGGAATTGTATTGGCTAGCTATTGCTGTGTAACAGATCAGCCAAAGTGTCACAGCCTAACAGAGTCTACATTTACTATCTGGCAAGGTCTGTGGGTCAGGAATGCAACCTGGCTGAGAGCTGTGTCCTCCACAAGGCTGGGGCACCACAGTCATCCTCAAGGCTTCACGGTTCACTCACATGGTTGCTATTAGGATGTGATTCCTTGTGCACTGTTGAACAGAGGGCCTTAGCTCTTTGCTGACTTTGAGCTGGAATGCACCCCCAGGTCTTGGTCATGTGACAGGCACTTCATCACAGCATACAAGCTGAGATGGCCACAGAGAAAGACTCCCAAGATCTAAGTTATCACAAAGCAGATGTCTTATCATTTTTGTCACTCTAGTCCCCAGATAGAAACCAGCAAGTCCAGTTGATAAGGGAGGGGGGTTATACATGAATACTAGGAGGCAAGGGGCTATGGAGGGTTTAACCAAACACTCCTCATCACAAACCTAAAACAGTCTGAGCCTCCAGTCCATGGGAAATCCCCAAGCATCCACCACCCTTGCACAAGGTAGGATGGAGAGACCACCTCTACTCAGCTGCTACCCCGTCCCCTGTTTTAGCTTTCCTGGGGGTGAGCCAGCTACCAGTAACTGACGTGAGCAAATGAAACATTCCACAAGAGAGCACAGCCTCGAAAAATGATCCTTCCCCTCTTCCAAGATGGGTTTTAGAAGGCAGCATCTCCACCTCATCCTCTCCTGTGGGAACCCACAAAAAACAATTCACTTTCTCCCCCCAGAAACCTGGTGATAAGGCCAATTTTCCCTGGGCCTGGCACAATGACTCAGTGGTTAAATCCTCGCCTTGCATGCACTGCGATCCTGTATGGTTGCCAGTTCGTGTCCTGGTGGCCCCACTTCTCATCCAGCTCTCTGTTTGTGGCTTGGGAAAGCAGTAGAAGAAGGCCCACACCTTGGGACCCATGTCAGAGATCTGGAAG